CCCATGGACCATGACAGGCATTCAGGAAATAGCCAATGGGTGAGAGCTCTTTCTCTGTCTCGGGTTAAAAAAAAAAAAAGCCTGCAGTTTGTAGTTGAGTGACTCGTAGCATAGACTACAAACTGGTTAGAGCCCAGGCTTGTTCATGAGAAGGAGGAGGAAGTAGTCACAGTGAGGACCCACGAGATCCACTCTGGGCAGGGGCCAAGGCTGCCAGGCGTGAGAAGGGAGGCTGGCCCAGCTGGGGACGGGACTCTATGGAGGAGTAGTGTGAGTGGATAGGGAAACCCTGGGGTATTTCGTACAGAGAACTAGTCATTTATAGACATCACTGAGCTGCAGCAAGTCAGACCTCAAGTCAAGGGCAGCGCTTTTGAACAGAGAACTGATGAATCTGTTGATCATTTAGGTCTCGACTACTGATTTCAGAATATACTGTATTGTTGCTGAAGATTAAACGTGGAAATCAAGTGGGAAGATTACTTTTACTCTTTGTTTGCTATTTAGGTGGTTAAGTGATTCTTGCCCGATCCAAGAGCCTTTTTATCCAATAGCTGTCTTTTTGTTTTATACCCTCTGTGATGCTGCATGGAGTTGGGGATGTAATTGGGACACAGACGTGTGCACATACAAGGGTATATTCAAAGTGTATGGAAAATAGCACAAATGATGATTTATTGTGCAAAAAATATAAGTTTTTATTAATATTCTTTTTTCATAAATTATTGAAAACCCCTCATTGTACATATGCACACAACACAAGATCTTGAGAAAGTTTGTACAAGATATACACTGTCTCTTAAGTCCATTTTCCACAAACTTCTTGAAGTACCCCGTTACCATGTTTGTGAAATGTAAGGACATTGCTTAGGAGAAGGGAGCTGGCAAATGGAGAGAATGAGGGATTTATCTTACAGCGTGTATTTATCTTACAGCGTTGTATTTCATAATTCTTGTTGTATATATATTACTTATTGTAAAACATATATATAATGTAAGCGAAATATATTTGCAGAGTAAGAGGCTTGCTGGGTCTATTTTATGACCACAGTGTCTTAATAGTGTTTTTTTTCTGATATCTTTAAAATGTATAATCTAGTATTGGTGCCTTTCCTATTTAAAAAGAGTTAATATATACAGCAGCTTATGCACTATTTAAGATCTGCTTTCTCATTCAAGTAGGACTGCTTTGAGTGGTGTATTCCTACCAGACTGAAATTGAGCATCTTAGAGAATAATTTCCAAAATGATTTATTGAGATACAAATCCCAATCATTCTCAATGAGGTGACAGTTTTCATGTCGCAGTCCCAATAGCTAATATGTCTTGGGTGTTTTTCACAAGTCACATGTCCTTACTGACTTGTACACTGAGAAGAGCCCTGCCCTGGCCCTGCCTTGTATCCAAATGCCAGCCAAGGGAATGAATGCTTAGATCGTAACACTACCCCCATTTTAGCCAGCAAGGAAGCTAAAACTTGGGTTAGAGAACCTGTCTGTGCAAGGCCTCTAAAGTCTAGACCGTTGCAGGATACACTTGAAATCTAGGTCAGTCCTGTGGCACCGTGTCTGGCCAGATCTGCCCTAGTGCTCTGTGTGACAGTGCTGCCCCAAGAGCCTCAGGAACCAGCTTGGCTTTAGTGGAGCTAGGCAATGTAGTTAATAACGAAACAGATTTCAGAAGTTGTGTGCTCATTTTCCTTATTTGCAAATGTATGAGATTTTCAATTTTTAAAGGTTGTGAAAAGCACCAGAAAATATGTAGTATGTGTCATTCATAAGAGAACATCCTGTGTTACACACAGCCTGTTTTTTTTTTCTCCCTCTCCTTTGTTTAAACATTTATTTATTTGAAAGACAGAGAGAGAGATAGAGAGGGAGAGAGAGTTTGATCCTGCATCTGCTGCCTCCCTCCCTCAAATGGCTGCAACAGCCAGGACTAGATATGGCTGAATTCAGGAGGTTCATCCTGGGCTCCCACGCAGGGACACAAGCACGTGGGGTTTTCTTTGCTGTTTTCCCAGGCATGTTAACAGGTAGCTGGGTCAGAAGTGAAAACAGCCAGGACACAAATGGAAACCTTTATGGTGTTGCAAGCTACGGCTTTACCAGCTGTGCTAGTTACAGGCCTTTTCTCTATAAATTTTCTTTTAGGGATTCATACCATGGTCAATGGGCTAATCCTCCACCGTGTGGTGCCAGCATCCTGTGTAGTTGCAGGTTCATGTCCTGGTTGCTCCGCTTGTGATCCAGCTCCCTGCTTACGGCCTGCAAAGGCAACACCTGGGAAAGCAGCAGCAGATGACCCAAGTCCTCAGGTCCCTGCACCTGTGTGGGAGACCTGGCTGAAGTTCCTGCCCCCCAGTTTCAGATCAGCTTAGCTCTGGCCACTGCAGCCACTTGGGGAAGTGGAAAGGAGGTGAACCAGCTGAGAAAAGACCTTCTCTCTGTAAATCTAGCTTTGAAAATAAAACAGATAAATCTTTTTTTTTTTCAGGTTTACGACATAAAATTTTATTGCCAACTGTTTTTGCTTTTTTTCTCACAACTAAACATATTCATTTTTATTGTTTCCTTCTAACAAAAGATCTGGAAATTTGTTTAGACAATAATAGCTAAGTACATTTCCTTCTTAAACTCTTCTGGGTAATAATAAGAATTATTATGCGTTGAAGATACTTGGCATTAGGATTATGGCTCCCGTTCTGCAGACTCACTGGAATTTTTCAAGTTAACTTTCAAATCTCCCCACAACCTTTTTTGGTCAAAGAAATACTATATTTGAAATAATCAGGGTGATACTTTACAAATCAAAAACTGAGCCACACGACTCTATCACCATGATAACTAATTTTACCAAGTCTCCTACATACATCTTGTATCAGTTTTCTACATTTGTACATATCTACAAAATGTCAACAGTAAGGAAACATTTTAAAATAATAGCACATTTAATTACATGCATTTCCCATCAGCCTATTTATATCGGCCATTTCCACTGGCTGGCAGGAGGTCCTTCCACTAATGGCTCCCATGGTTTCCACTGCATCATTTTTCTTGCCAGACTTAGTTCATTTTCAACTTGAAGAATCACCTCTTCTATTTCACCACCCTGAAGTTTATCTTCTAATTTTTTAACATCTGATTCCATTTTCACCATATTCAGCTTCTCATTTATAATCTGCTGCATATATTTTTTGTATGCTGCAGTTTTAGGCATCTGTGAAAAACATCCAGACTCTTTGCATACAATATTCTTAGCCTCTCGTGCAGATTGTTGCAAACAGCGAAGCCCACAAAACCAGTGGTCTGTGGAAACACAAAACACGGTTCACGCTGCTTGGAGGGGTTGCCATTGCCCACCAAACTCCCGGGCTAGCTCTTAGGGGCGTCCCTTGCCTCTGAGCGAAACCCCGCTGCAGCCTGCAGACCTCAGCCTCCAGCCGCCAACCCCCAACCCCTGGGACACAGGCCACCAGCAGGATCCCACGCCAGCAGTGCAAATCCTAAAACAAATAAATCTTTAAAAACAAATTTTCTTTTAAATTTATGATGCCATTGGTTAAGCTGTTGTTCGGAATGCTCACATCCCATTTCAGAGCACTGGTTCAAGTCCTGGCTACTCTAGTACCAATCCAACTTGTTAAAGTGCCTGGGAAAGCAGCAGATGATGGCTCAAGCACTCTGAGTCCCTGCTGCCCATGGGGAAACCTGACTCCTGATTTTGCTGGCTGTTGCAGACATTTAGGGAGTGAATCTCAGGTGGTCGTGCTCTCTGTTTCTCCCTGTGGCTGTCTATCACTCTGCAGATTTACAGAGAGGAGAGACACAGAGAAAGATCTGTCTTCTCGTTCACTCCCAAATGGCCACAACAGCCAGGGTTGGCCCAAAACAAAGCCAAGAGTCAGAAGATTTTCCTGGGTCTCCCACGTGGATGCAGGGTTTTCCCAGGCCAAAAGCAGTGAGCTGAATGGAAAGTGGAGCAGCCAAGACACAAAACAGTGCCTATATGTGATGCCAGTACTTGAAGGGGAGAGGATTAACTAGCTGAGCCAATGTGCTGGCTCGTAAACAAATACATTTTTAAACAAAGGCTCATCTGAGGCTGGCGTGATGGCTTAACTGGCTACTCCTCTGCCTGTGAATGCTGGCATCCCATATGGGTTCCAGTCTGTGTCCCGGCTGCTCCACTTCCCATTCTGCTTCTTGCTTATGGTCTGAGAAAGCAGTGGATAAAGGCTTAAGTCCTTGGGACCTTGCACCCACATAGGACACCTAGGGGAGGGTCCGGGATCTTGGCTTCAGCTCAGCTCAGCTCCAGCCATTGTGCCAATTTGGAGAGTGAACCTAAAGATGGAAGATCTCTCTATCTCTCCTTCTCGCTGTAAATCTGCCTCTCCGATAAAAATAAATAAATCCTTTAAAAAAGATAATCACCAGATTCTAAAATAAAATTTTATAAAAATAAAGACATTGAAACCTCTGAGTTTCTACCTCTGCTGGGATTTTCTCTACTTTGTTACTCCCTTATCCCCTCGTGATGAATTTGTTGGTTCCTGGTATCTATAACCACCATTTCTTTATGCATATTTTAAGTTGAGGAGCTCTTCCTCCCTTTCAGAGGCAGAATCTGTTTTCTTTATCTACTTCCAGTTTTTCATGAGAAGAATAATCTCATTAATTCTCTGCAATTTAGCACTTTTCCATGGGAAGTCTAATTACATATGGCTACAGGAATTTCTGTCACCAGTGATTGTTTTAAAAATCTTATTTAAATAGATGTGTCACTCACCAGTGGATTTGAAAAATACGTGGTGTAGGAAAAAAAAAAATCTCCCTCAGCTGAATAGCCACTCAAGTGTCTTGTGTTTGTAGTTAATCTTGAAGGTATGATGCATACTCTGATAGCATCCATTAAAAAACAAAACATGGCCTTTGTTGTTATGGTTGTCGTCCTCCAGTTGTGTCTCCCAGCTAACTGTACTTTCTTCCTCATTACAGCTGCGGCAGTCTCAGTCCTACTGCACAGATACCGAGTGTCTCCAGGAATGTAAGTACTGCTGGGACAGCAACAGCTGACACGGGGGCAGAATAGAGGCCATGGCACTGTATCTCTCTGTCCGAAATGATGCTGACAGCTTGCTCATTGAGATGGTTTTCAGTGGTTATTTGCAATTTATATATATGTATGTGTGTGTGTTTTTAAAAAAATTTATGTGTGTTTATTCACAAAGTCAGATATAGAGAGGAGGAGAGACAGAGAAAAAGATCTTCCGTCCAATGATTCACTCCCCAAGTGAGCGCAACAGCCAGAGCCGTATGAATTGCCTGTATTCCAAAGCCAGGAGCCAGTAACTTCCTCCAGGTCTCCCAAGGCTTTGGGCTGTCTTCAACTGCTTTCCCAGGCCACAGGCAAGGGGGCTGCTTGGGAAGCAAGGTCTCTGGGACTAAACCAACGCCCATATGGGATCCCGGCAAGGACTTTAGCCCCTAGGCTACCACACTTGGCCCAACTTACATATATGTTTTAAAGTTTTGTGTATTTTTTTCTTTGAAAGTCAGGGTTAAAGAGAAAAGGGAGAGACGGGGAGAGAGAGATCAATCTTCCTTCTGATGGCTCGTGCTTCAAATGGCCACAACAGTCAGAACTGAGCTGATTCCATCTGAAGCCTGGAGCCAGGATCCTTCTCCAGGTCTCCAATGTGGGTTCAGAGGCCCAAGGACTCAGGCAACTCTGTTGCTTTCACAGGCCTCTGGCAGGGATCTGGATGGGAAGTGGAGTAGCCAGGCCATGAACTGGTACCCATGTGGAATGCCAGGACTGTAAAAGGAGATTTACCCTGTTGAGCCACTGTGCCAGCTCCATATGCATGTGTTTATTTGGAAGACAGTTTACAGAGGAAGAAATATCTTTAATTCATTGGTTCACTCCTCAAGTGGCTGCCATAGCTGGAGCTGATCCAGTCCGAAAGCAGGAGCTTCTTGCAGGTCCGCCATATAGGTATAACAGCCCACATACTTGGTCTGTCCTCTGCTACTTTTCCCAGGCCATTACCATGGAGCTGGATTGGAAGTTGAGCAGCCGGAACTCAAGCCAGCATCCGTATGAATTGCCTGTATTACAAGCTGCAGCTTTACCTGCCATATCACAACTCTGGCCACAAACTAAATTTTCAGTTTTTAACTTGAAAAATAATTTTTTCCTTCTTAAGACTAAACCTTTATTACATTGAATAAAATTATAAAATCATAGATGGAAGTCAAAAAGTAGAGGAAGAAAATCCAGAATGTTAAAAAGGTAAATGCTGTTGGCAGCTTTGTATATTCCTTCCAGGGCTTTTGCTTGGTGAATAGCATTTGACAGGGCATTTGGAGCTAGCAGAAGTAGAACATGAAGGCAACCAAAACAGTTCGCTTACCCATTCCCTAGTGTCTGATTGGCTGGCCTGGGAACTTGTGCGTGAGGGCCAGAGAAGCCTTTGGAAGCCTTGGGTGCCTGGGAGGTTCCCTGCTCATATCCGTGAGGGTGTGGGCAGGGCTGGCGAGCTGCTCCATGTGGCGATGGTAAGAGGACAGATGAGACCAAGAGGGAACCTGCACAGTAAACCTTGTTGGGACCATTTAGAACACTCTAAAGTAGCCTGAAGAATACTGAAAGGGACTCATCAGCCAGCAGGTAAAGCCAATCTTGTGCTATGAGATCGTGAGAAGGAAAGTCTATGACAAGATGAAGAGGGCTAGCAGTGTAGAAATGCTATAGCTGTTGTTTTCTACCACTGTATTATAAATATATTAATACATATCTTAAAACTATTTGTTCACGGAGACTGGCAGAGTGGCATTGCTGGCTCATCCTCTGCCTGTGGCACTGGCAACACCGCTTCAAGTCCTGGCCGCTCCACTTCCAATCCAGCTCCCTGCTTGTAGCCTGGGAAAGCAGCAGAGGATGGCCCAAAGCCTTGGCCCTCTGAAGCATTTGTGAGACCCAGAAGAAGCTCCTGGCTTCAGTTGGCCCTGCTCTGGCCGTTGCAACCATTTGGAGAAGGAACCAACAGAGAGATCTCTCTATGTCTCCTTCCTTTTCTTTGTAACGCTTTCAAGGAAAATAAATAAATCCTTGGGAAAAAAATTTTAAAAAGGAAAACAAAATTTTCTGGCATACAACCAAGCATACTGGATATACCAAAGTTTAAATAATTCATTTTTTTAATTTCATATTGGTTTTTTTCATATTACAGACAATATTTGAGCAAAAATCCTTTGAATTCAGATGTTCAGGAGGTAAAATGTTTTTTTTCCTAGCCTATCATACCTCTTAGCTGGAACACCTTTTACAAAGCACAGATTGAACCCGGCGCAATAGCCTAGCGGCTAAAGTCCTTGCCTTGAATGCGCCGGGATCCCATATAGGTGCCAGTTCTAATCCCAGCGGCCCCACTTTACATCCAGCTCCCTGCTTGTGGCCTGGGAAAGTAGTCAAGGACGGCCCAAGGCCTGCATCCACATGGGAGACCTGGAAGAAGCTCTTGGCTTTAGATCAGCGCAGCTCCAGCTGTTGTGGCCGCTTGGGGAGTGAATTATCAGATGGATGGAAGATCTTCTTCTCTGTCTCTCTCTCTGTATATCTGACTTTGCAATAAAAATAAATTAAAATCTTTAAAAAAAAAGCACAGATTAATGAGAGGAAAAACTAAGCAAGTTATTAACATATGGAGTGCATGCAACATGGGGGAAACCTCAAAAAGTAATGCAGAGTGGTGGCTTCAAACTGGCTCATATATCTTCAACAAAGAGCTGTGAATTTTGGAAAAAAGGACAAAGAAAGGAGGTTTCCAACTTGTGCTACAGATGGTTTGTCCTCTCACAGTTCAGGTGCTGGAAGCTTGGTCCTTCCCCAGTCTAACCCCGCACTGATAGGTGGGTGTGTAAGAGGTGCGGCCTAATGGAAAGTGACTAGGTCCTTTGTAGGAAAGGGTGAGGTCCGGGTTCTGGATTAGTTCTGTAAGAGTGAGTTAGAAACTATTCCCCAGTTGAGATCTGGGATGGGTGGGGCTTTTCCCTTTGTTTCTTCCCTGACCCCAGGCACAGGGGAAAAAATGATAATATTAGTGTGGAAACAATGGTATTATCCACTTTCATCCTGTAACCCTTGATTCTTTGTACCCTAATCAACTAAGTAAGATTATTAAAAAAAAAAAAAGAAATAAAAAAATAGCTAAAAAGAAACTATCCCAGTCTGTTTATGAATAGACTCATCGCTTATATTTGACATCTTGAAGCTAAGGTCTGCTTTAGTGTGTATATGAAATTAAAGCCAAGCCACAGTAATGTAGCATTGTGAAGGGGCTTATCACATTATCTATGATTATTTTATTTTATAAACTTTGTGTGTCATTACATTTTGCAAGTATCACAACTTAGAGATAGTAGGAGCTAGGATAAGGCCTAGCCCAGAGCAGCAATTTTGTCAGACTGCAGATGCTGCTGGGTAAGTGCCACCCGTGTCTGCAGAAGGGAAGCAGCAGCAGTGTACACACGCAGCGGGACGGCACCTGCTGGCTCCTGCACTCCGTGTTGCCCTCTGTTGCTTCCCCCGGGCTTCCATCAGTCCACACGGTGTAGCTCAAGTATGCGCCGTGGCAGGTAAAACTGTTGAAAATGATCCTATATTCAGCTCTTGATGCAGTGCTGATTGCATGTGTGGTATCTGTGACTGTGCCAGCCTCACCTGTAAATCAGATACACTCCTCCTGCTGTGGGTGAAATGCCACTTCCTCCCTTGGAGGAGAAAGACTGAACGCCAGCGTGGCCGTCTGCTGAGTCATGTTGGCAGCTAGTTTTTCCTGCCCAATCCCTTTAGCTATTGGTGATGGAAATCCCTTCTGAGCACCCCTGTTTGAATTGGCTTAAGCTCTGTTTTCTCTAGGAATACTTTTCTGTATATTCTCCTGTGTGTAGCTCCCTTCATGTCAGATCAATATATTACAATTCAGTTTTATTAATAGGTTATTTTAAAAAATTAAGTAATGTGTGGTTTAGGATTGTAGGAATATGAGGCTTCACAATAACTGAAATAAGCCTTGAATAAATACATGTTCTACTCTCCAGTAGTGGTTTGCATTTTTAAACTGTCTCCTTTTGTTCTTTTTCTGCCTTTTTAATCCCTATGCTTCTATTTTGAATGGTTTGTTGTTTTCAAATTCTGTTTAATGCTTGTCCTATGAAAAGGATCATTTGTTTATTTAATCATAGAACCAACTGTTAGTTTTAAAGTTGTTAAAAACACAGACCAAACAATAAATGGAGAAATATGTGTGTTCTTATTTATACAATCTACTTGGGCTTTTGCACTTGGCAATGAATCTGGTTTTTATTATTAAAATCTTATTTTTGTTCTATTTGAATGATTGCTGAAGGCACCTGGTGGTTATTCTGTCTGCTGATTCCCTGCCATTTTTATGTTACTTGCTGTTCTCATTTGGACAGGCATTGCTGCTTACGTGTGTGGTGTCTGTGATTCCTATGCCAGCTGTCAGTCACTTCTCCTAAGGGTAAACTTTGCGGTAGCAGTTTGGCATAATGTTTAAACTCCTGGTTGGGATTGTCTGCATCCCATAATCCAGTACTTGGGTTTGATTCCTGCCTCTAGTTCATTCTAACTCAAAAGGCAAAACAACAGAGAAAAAAGAACGGAAAGAGAGAGAAATGTCTGCTAGCCCCTGGCTTAGTTCGCAAGTGACTTCAGCAATCTGATCTGAGCCAGGCCAAAGCCAGGGGCCAGGAACTGCGTTGTAGTCTCCCACATGAGACTACATGTGGCAGAGACCTAAGTATTTAGGCCGTCATGCATTGCTTTTCCAAACACATTAGGGAAATGGATTGGTAGCAGAGCAGAAGAACCCAGACTAGTGGGCTTGGTGCAATGGCTCAATTGGCTAATCCTCTGCTTCAAGCACCAGGATGCTATGTGGGCACCATTTCATGTCCTGGCTGCTCCACTTCCCGCAAGCTCCCTGCTTGTGGCCTGAGAAGACAGTAGAGTATAGCCCA